TCTTGATTCTGTATTTTTGCCTAAATACACTCAGGATGGCTTAGGTTTTTCTACAGAGGTGTAGCCACAGGTCCAAGTTCACTTGAAACATGAGCATTATAATACATATTCTAGGGCTCTGACCAAGGAGTCCTTCATTGCTCTAAATGTTTGCATATGCTCTGGTCAGGGGAAATTCAAGCATGTCTACAAAGCAACAGATGGGAAGTTTCCGAGGGATAAACTAGTTATTTCTTGGCAGTCTCAAAGTATGTAGCGTGCAAGCTCTGCTCTGGGAGTTGGGAGAATCCACTTGAACCACATGATCCCCAGATGTTAAAAAGAAATTCCCAGATACTTCCCTGCTTTAAGTAGTCATGAGTACTCGGTCAAAGGGGAGCAAAAGAGCCTTGGCTTCCAGCTTCACGGAATTCAACTTTTTGCTCTGACTTTCTAGCAAAAAGGAAGGGGATGTTGAATGCTGAATCACATGAAGCTAAAACTAGAGGACAAAGCAAAATGAGATTTCCACTTTTTTATTATGTACTTGCCTTTTATTTATACACTTGTCATTAATTTCATTAATGCAGTAGATTATAGATCATCTGGGTCTCACATCTTATTCAGTGTGAGATGCTGGTTGTTACTAAAACCCGTTTCAGTTTTTAATATCTATGTTTAAATTTTTTAATCTGTAAAATGGTGATAATAATAATATTGCCTCAGAGAGTTGTGGTAAAGATAATGGTATTGATGCATGTAAAGTACTAAGAATAGTGCCTAGGACATAGTAAATACTATATATAAATGCTTGTTATTATTGGTACATTTTGGCTATTTTCTTATTAGCATTACTGATATTATTATTATTCAGTTGGTGAATAGTCAAATTTCATTTCAAGTGTTGTCCTACCATTTTATTCTGCTTCATGATTTTTCTGGGGGAAATTTTCTCCAGTGAATGTGTGTTGAATTCTGTTTTTTGATTGTTTTACAACAACTCAGTATGAATCTGTTAATATTTTCCTTGTGTTGAGATACAGTCTCATGATTTCATATTCCAGATATGGAAACTGAATCCCCAAAAGGAGAGTGACTTGTCTAAAATCACACAGAGATAGTGGCTAAACTACTAACAGAATCCAGGACTTCCGACCAGTAGTCCAAAGCTTGTTCCACTCGGTACAGAATCCAAGAGTATTGACCTTGGGTATCGATACAGTCTGTGCATGCTCCAAACCTCATTGACCCATAGGAAGCCTTGAACACTCTGTGATTCCAAGTATTCACCAATAGATGTCTTTCCTATCAAAATTCCAAGCACTTAAGGGAAAGGACTGTGGCTTGACTACTTTGGAATCTTTGTCATGTGTGTGCTCAGCATTATGCTTCAAATTCTTGAGGGCAAGAATTATTGTCTATAACGCCTTGGATTACTAAGGGCAGATGCTCAGTAAATAGAAGTAATAAAGGTACTCCTCCCCCCCCAATTTAAAAAAAAAGGAATGAAAGAGCAGGGAAGAGAATATTTATCAGTAACTTCATATGTACCAGTCACAGTGCTGAATATTTTGAATTTAATCTACAGAAATCCTTTATGTTATTGTCAATTTCCATATCTCAAATCAGGAAATTATGTTTCAGAGACATTGGGCAATGTATGCTGAGTCTCTTCACAAGTAAATGTTCAAGTCTGACACATCTCTGGTGGACTACAACCTCCTAGAATCCAATATAAACACAATGGGAGAGGTGAAGTCAGGAAGAAAGAGTCCTAATGTTTTCTAAAGGGCAAAACAATTTTTTTTTCTCATGAGATAACTGTGAAATGAACCATGTAAATTATGAAAATACAAGTCATGGTTGTATTTGTCCTGTGACAGTTTGGAAAGTACATGTTTTCATCAAGCTAGAAAAAGAAAACAGCCCTGGCTGGTGTGGCCCAGTGAACTGAGCTCCAGGCTGCAAACCAGAGGGTCACCTGTTCAATTCCTAGTCAGAGCACATGCCTGGGTTGTGGGCCAGGATGCAGGATGAGGGCAATGCACGAGGCAACCAATCTGTTTCTCTGCCACATCCATATTTCTCTCCCTCTCTTTCTTCCTCTTTTTCCCTTTCTCTAAAAATAAATAAATAAATAAATAAATAAGATCTCTGGGTTAAAAAAAGAAAAAGAAAACAGAGAAAAATTATGAGTATGTCAATCTTGCACATTAAAAGAGACCTGTCACTATCAAGCAACCTGGCTCCATTATCCCTGCAAATATCTTATCTATACTAAAGTTTTGATGGGAGACAAAAAGATAAGCTACAGGACTTATATGGAGAACCATTAGGCCTGGGTGAGTTTCACAGCAGAAAAAGACCCACACCTGAAACCTGTGCTAGGCTGAGAAATGGCCCCCTAAAGATAAATAGGTCCTAATCCCTGCAATCTGTAAATGTCACCCTATTTGGAAGAAGGGTCTTTCTGGTTGTAACTAAGTTAAGGATCTTGAGAGGGGAGATTATCCAGTATTATCCAGATGGGTCCTAAATGCAATCACAAGTATCCTTCTAAGAGAGGGGCAGAGGAAGGTATGACACACACCCACAGAGAAGGAGGTGATGTGAAGATGGAGGCAGAGATTGGAATGATGCAGCCATAGACCAAGGAATGCCCGCAACATTCTCTTCTTCAGGAAAAGCTGGAGAGGCAGGGAGCAGATACTCCCCTCAAGCCTCTAGAGGGAGGAGGGAGTGTGGCCCTGCCCACATCTTGAACTTGGCCTAGAAAAACTGATTTTAGACTTTCAGCCCCCAAAACTGTGACAGAGTAAATTCTTGTTGCTTTAAGCTACCAAGTGTGTGGTAATTTGTTAGGGTAGCACAGAAAGCGAATGCAGTGCCCCTGTATTGTTATCCAAGTCTCTGTTTCCCACCAATCTGGCACCTCCAAGAAGAATTTCCAAAAAATCCTAATTTTTTTTTTTAGTGTCTCTTCTGCCAGGCACTATGACAGACACTTTACTTGTAATAGCTCACTGAATCTTCATAATACCATTAGGTAGCTAATAGTATTATTCCTATTTTACAGATAAGTAAAATAAGGCTCAGAAGAAAAACTGATGGGGCCACACCCCTAATAGGTGATGGAACTAGTATTCCAACTCAGGTCTGCTCAAACCTAAACCCATACTTTTAACCTCTACACTGTGTTACCTCAGGCTCTCTGTGTTAAGTCAAGGTTTTAATTCTCAGATCAACTAATGGCATTTTGGGATCTTTATCTGAAAGATGTTTTCAGGGATGGTTGACCAAAGGAGACCATATCTGTTTGCATTCCAGAAATGGCACCAGATGTTAGACCTTGGTTCAACAACCTCAGAACTTGAGTTCTGGCTAAGAAAGAATTCAGAGCCAATACTGAAACTGTAAGAGAAAGTTTATTCAGAAAGACACAGAGGTAGAAGAAGTGAGCTGTAGAAGAAATGGGCTCAGGTGACAATGGGACAAGTTACAGAGGCAAAGGAAAGGCCCTTGGCACTTAGAAGGAAGAGAGAGACAAAGGACAAAGCAAACATGCCTTGAGGAAGAAGAGGGGGAAAAATTCAGTGAGCTGAGGTGGGGGGAAGGGATTGAAAGAGAGAGAGAATGGGGCCCTGGGAAAAGGAGGGGGTGGGGAAAAGCAGAGCATCCTCCATGGAGGGAGCTGAACAGCATCCTTATCCTGAGGGGTTTTATCTGGAGGTCTCAGGGGAGGATCTCAATAGAATATTCATCAGCTTTCTTCCTTGTGTCCCTCAGGGCTATGGCCTCCACTAATTGGTGGGCACGGCGGTGGCGGGGGGGGGGGGGGGGTCATTGCAGCTGGTCTGGATGTCCACCACAGTGTTGCTCCGCCTGGTGTTGCTGCTTTTCTGGGCTTGGAGCAGAAACTCAGCTGAGGCCTAGATGTTTTTTTTCCCCAGGGGTTAATACTTAAGGAGTAGTGATGCAAGGGCTTGTTGTTTTGATGTTGCTAGGCACCCGGGGCTCTCTGTCCTGGTGACCCTTTGCACCTGGCTTATCTGTTCCTACTCTGCCCATGCCTAACTGCCTACTACACTAGCATCATAGAAAGCTAGAATTAAACGATTTCAGAGGTCCATTTGTTCAAACCCTTCATTTTATAGATGAGGAATCTTAGTCTGGAGAAGGAGAGGCAATTTCCAGGGTTATATTTAGAAGTTTTAGGTGGACTTAAAGAATGGAAGTCCAGGTCTCGCTTCAAATCCAGGGTTACTTTTACTATACATCACACTGCCCAAAGTCATGGGTGTTGCTATGGCCTAAAATGCTGACCAAACTCTGAGAACTTGCAAAAAGGAAAACGGAAAAATGCGTTCCAAACCTTCTCAAAGCCATAATGCCTCATGGGCTTCATTCTCACCTGGGATACTCTACATGGCAACAGCCACTGAGATGGTCCAGTGGATTGGGATGGGAAGGTTCTGTGCTGGGATGAAGACTGAAGAGGCCATGAGGCTGGAACCACATCCCAAATGAGAGGATAGGGAGGTTAAGAGCTTATGAATGGCTAGAACTGATGGGATTTCTGGAAATTTCGAGAGTGGCAGCTTTGGACAAATAAGTGCTAGTAAGCTGTACCTTAATCAGCAGGGAATTGGTTTTGGAAGCTCAGTATGCCTGATAATGGTAAAGGCTGAAATCCATCTTCATATATAAGTATGTCCACTTGTCAAATATTGAGTCCCTGACTTTACGCTTAATGTGGTTTTTTAAAATGATAATGTATTCAAATGTTCCATATAGTCTTAATACACAAGTGCTCAATAAATGCTGTTACTAAAACATTTAACTATTTAGAGCAGCTGTGATAGTCACCGTCTTTAAGACACGTGGACCTCCGCTCCAGACTATGTATCCCAAGATGCTCTTTGCATGTGTTTCTCCACCGGTTGCATTCTGGGTCTTGTAGTTCGGAAGTGAGTGACTGATTCATCAGCGCGCAGGCGCAGTGACGCAGGTTCCCGGAAGAGCCCAGAGGCTCCCAGGATGAGCTGCTGGCGGTGGCTGCTGCGGCGGCGGCAGTGCTGACAGGACGCGAGCTCTATGCCTTTCCGGCTGCTGGTCCCCCTCGGCCTCCTGTGCTTGCTGCTGCCCCTACACCATGGTGCGCCGGGCCCCGAAGGCACCGCGCCCGACCCCGCCCACTACAGGTGAAGGGGTCTGGCTCCCCGCCCTGACGTATTTGGGGAATGGAAAGCTCAGACCGGGTTCTTTCCCTTTCCTTCCACCCCAGGACCCTACCCTCAGTTGCTCGGACTCTACCACTGGGTTCCTGGCAGAATCAGGGGGTGAGATCCACTTTCCGCTTATTTCATGTCCTTCTGCTGGCCTGATTTCATTTTCTGCCCCCCCCCCCGCCTTATTTCTCGAACCCCTCACCAGGGAGCGAGTCAAGGCCATGTTCTACCACGCCTACGACAGCTACCTGGAGAATGCATTTCCCTACGACGAACTGCGACCTCTCACCTGTGACGGGCACGACACCTGGGGCAGGTAGTGCAAGTGGAGGAGCAAGGGGCAGGCCGGGGTCTGGCAGTCCGCTCCTAGGCGGGTGGGACTTCAGGGGCTGATGCCTTCATGGGTTAGTTACTGGATCGCGGAAAGTTCCTAGCCAGGGCGAGGGCGTTCCCCTCAATTCAGGTCAGCACCTCCCGAATCCACCCAGCCTCCTGGATATTTGGATCCCTAAGGGGGCTGAACCTTTGGACTCTAGACATGAGAGTAACATGCACAGCTGTGGGGACTTGGGGAAATCTCTGGAATTGTAGAATATCATGGAAGGGCTCCAGGAAGTCAGAAGACTCAACCCCTTCATTTTGTAAGTGGACAAACAAGCCCGGGAGGGGATGTAACTCTCCCAAACATGAAATTTCAGAGCCTATGTTTTCAGTGAAACTGAAACACACTTCCCCAATGATCCTCTCGTCACTGATTGCTTCTGGAGATCTCGGCCCAAAAATGGCACTTCAGCATCATCTTCCCTGACTACCCACCCCTTTCAGTCAGGTCACTCTCACAAATCACTCGATTTTTCCTTAGCACTTCCCCCTCTCTGATACTGTCATTTTCACTTGTCTGCTAGTTTATCTTTCTCACGCTAGAATAAAAATCTGTGAGAGATGGAATTTTCTGTCTTGTTCCCTGCTGCGTGAATGAAAAAATCATTGCATTTAATTGAAGCTCACATTGACTAAACACTGTGCCAAGCATTTTACCTGGATCATCTCATTTAATTCTCCTAACACTCCTAGGAGTTAAGTGCTGTTATCTCTCTTTTACAAATGAGTATGCTAAGGACTGGACAAGTTAAGTAAACTCAACAAAATTTGTGCTGCTGTTTTTTTGGGTTGTTTTTTAGTTGAAAAAAGTAATACAAGCAAATGGCAAATAAAAGCAGTACAAGATCACATAAGTAAATATCTCCCATACCCTAGTACTTGGACCACTGTTAACTTTCTTGTGTCTCCTAGAAATATTTTCAGTTTATACCATTATGTAGGCATCCTTTAACATTGAAAGCATAACTTACATATAATAAAATACACCAATTTTAACTGTATAGTAACCATTATCACAGTCAACAGACAGATCATTTCTGATGTTCTGATATCACAGTCTAGAATATATAGAACATCCTAAAAAGTTCTCTTGTTCCCTTTATAATTAATCTACCACCACTTGCCCAAACAGCTGCTAATCTTCTTTCTGTCTATATGTCTCTTTTTGAAAATGCTGATAGGAACATGCTACACTGCCTATTCTATACCTTGTCTTTTTCACTTAACAATATAATTTGAGTATCTTAACATTAGCCAACAACTCTTTTTCAGAACTTGATAAAAGTCTTTGACAACCTCATAATTGAGTGATGTTTGAATGTACTTCAATTTATTTAATCACTTTTCAACTGATGTACATTTGGGTTATTTCTAGCTTTTTGTTGTTCTAAATACTACTACTATGAGCATTTCAAACATCCAGTTCTGTGCACTGTGAGATAAGCCTCTACATGAGGAAAAGCCTGTACTCTTAGATGTAATCTCATACTGCCTCCCTATGGCAGAGAAGATTGCCAGAGAATACAGCTGAACTTAATCAGTCCACTATCCCAGGTGCATTAAATGGGTCAGAGGTTCTTAGCAATTTTCACTATGGCTTCTCTGTTGTGACTGGAGGTGGGATAGGCGGAGGTATAGCTGTGCCTCACATTTTAGTATTTGGGTACTGATCTGGGGTAGTCTTGATATGTGGTGTTTGATTTTCTTACTAAGCAGCTGGGATTTCTATCCTTTTACAGTTTTTCTCTGACTCTAATTGATGCTCTGGACACCTTGCTGGTAAGTGTCTCTCATCTATTCCTTTTCTTCTTGGCAGCTTGACTGTTGGTGAAAAATGAATTCTTCACTTAGGTCTCTTATTTTCATTTCATCATTCTGAACCATCAGGCCCTCATTGCCCAGCTAAATAGAGGAAATTCACGATGAATCCCAAACTTATTTGGGTTCATTTATTCAGCAAATGTGTGTAGAAGACCTGTTATGAACACAGAACAATGATAGCCTGTAGAACTCTATTTAGAGTGAGGGATCCAGAGACCTTGATGCCCTCCGTGTTTTCAGAGGCTTACATTCTGGTGGGCAAGTTCAGTGATAAAAATATAGCAGTAATTAGTGTGTCATGTATGTGCTAAACAGTTTACATGTATTATTTTGTTTAATCCTTCCAAGAACCCCATCTTAACCACTGTAACATCTAATGCTTAGAAAGATAAAATGACTTGGCCAGCATACATAGCTATGAAATGGCCGTGAAGAAGCCACAAGAGATGATGTAACTACTTCCCCATATTTCACTGTTTCTGGTTCTCTGTCAGCCCTTCTCATTTTTATATATAAATAGTATTTACATGATTTTGATCACCTTGTAGATATGTTAGCTTTTTTATCCTTCATGTTAATTTGTATGTACTTGTCCATTCATCAAATAATTATTGAATGCCAATTGTATGCCAAGCACAGTGCTATGCTCTGGAGTTACAGTAGTGAATTTAAACAGACACAGTCCCTGCTTTCCTGGAGTTTATGATTTTAGTGAGAGAGACAAAGAATGTGTAATTACAAGCTGCGGTGAGCACACTGTAGGAAAGGAACATGGTTCTTTCAGTGGTTATCACTCAAAGAAATTGACCTAGACTGAGGAGCTCACAGAGGACTTCCCTAAGATAATGAAATGATACTTAAGTTGGTATCTGAAGGAGAAGCAAGTGTTGAATAGGAAAGTGAGGGAGGAAAAGGCAGAGGAGACGGCATATGCAAAGGCCTTACAGCAAGAGAGTAAGACAAGAAGAGTGAGTTAAAGGAGGGCCAGTATGTATGGGATGTGGGGAACGGGGCTGGGTGGATAGATGGGGACCAGATAATGTTTGCCATGTTAAGGATTTTGATCTTTAATTTGAAAAAATGGAAAGCCACCAAAATTTCTTAAGTAGAGGGCAGGAAATGATGAAATTTCTGTTTTGAGCAGATCACTAGCTTCAATGTGGAGAAAGACTCATGTAATCATTTAACAAACACTTCTTGAGTAATTCTTTCCTGAGCCATGTGCGGCACTCTGGGGGAACGCAGGAATGAGTGAGGCTTCTCTCCAGTCAAAGATTCTCTTATTTGGAAAGAAATAGATCCCCTGAGAATTGTGTGGATGACATTACTGGAGTCTTTTAAAGGAAGAAAAAGTTAGTTTCAGCTGGAAAAATCAAAGGCTTCCTACAGAAGGTGTTATTTAGACAACCAAAGATAGATCGGATTTGGAAATTGGAAGACATAGGTGGGAGGGATTTCTGGCAGAGGAAACAGCATGTCTGAAGGCAAGAAACTGGGGAATTGGGTAGAGTGTTACTGAGTAGATGAAGATAGGTTAGATGAAGATGAACCATGACAGACATGGTCAGAAAGGTCAATTGGTCCAAGTTGTAGAGGGTCTTGAATGCTGAGATAGTAAGTATTGTTTGGGTTGCAAGGGACAGAGATGCAGTTCAAACTGGTTAGACAATTTACTGAGGCAAATACCTAAAAAGTCCAGGTAAAGGATGGCCTCAGATCCAGCTGGATCTAGACATGAAAACAATGTCTTCAGGAATCTCTTTTTCCATCTCTTATCTCTGCCTTCTTCTTTGCCTCTGTTCTCAGGCTTTCTTTATGTTGGCAAGGTAGCTAACAGTAGGTCCAGACTTATATTGTACTCACTTAGTAATGTGTGTGGGGAAAGAATTAGTCCTTTTGCATTAATTCCAGTAACTAAGTCTCATTGATCTGGCTTGGATCATGTGTTTATCCTTGAACCAATCACTTGGCCAAGATATAGTAAGTACACTGGCTGGTTAAGGACCAGTGCCTCTTTTTGCAGCTGAGGGGATTGAGGCAGCCTTTCCCAAATTGTAAGAGTAAGTGTGGAAGAAGGGTGATTCCTCAAGGGAAAATTGAGGTGCTCTTATCAGAATAAAAGTATCAGTATTGCATTTGGCTGATGGTTAAAATAAAGTTTAATTTTTCTCATGTAATAAACAGTTGGGAGGTAATTTCTAACATTGGGTCAACTGTGCTGTCAGAGACCCAGGCTCTTTGTATCTTTCTGTTCTGTCATTAGTGTGTTGACTTTCATTCTCATGCCTTGTACCTTGTGGTGTAAGATGGCTGCCAAAGCCTCAGAAATCTAGTCTGTTTTCAAGGCAGAGACAGAGTAAAAGCCACACCAGCTGTGTCTGTCTCTTTTTCTAGGAAGATAGAAGCTTTCCTAGAAGTGCCACCAGTAGACTTCTCAAGGCTCAGAATGGACAGGGAAGCACAATCACCTCTAACAGCAAAGTAGGCTAAGACAGCACATGTCTGGATTTCCAGCTTCTATCATGGGAAACTACAAGGGCACAGAAGATTGGGAATCAGTGTTGGGCCAACAACCCTGCAGTATTCTCCACAAAGATGAATGTAAAGAGGTTAAAAACAACAGATAATTATTGCAATTAGAAGACTAAGAATTCCTTAATGTGCTGTACAGTCTGTATTGGTTGTATACAGTTTTATATTATTTAAATGAGTACTCTTGAACTGGTACCTAAGAATTTACATAACCAGTCTTTTGATATTTGGTCTTTATGAATTTCAGCTCTCAGTGTTTTCTTCACCTGTCCCAGTCCTAGAATAGAAACTGCAGGTCTTAAGTTGAATAAGCGAGGGCCATACCAGCATAGGATTTAATTCAACATTTTCAGTGCCTTCAAGCCTGTGACAGCCTCACTGTCATGTCTGTCTCTCCTCCCAGATTCTGGGGAATGTCTCAGAATTCCAAAGAGTAGTTGAAGTGCTCCAGGACAACTTGGACTTTGACATTGATGTGAATGCCTCTGTGTTTGAAACCAACATCCGAGGTAAGGGTTGTCTTCTATGGCCTTTGGAAGAAAGAGAATGTGGAGTTTTTGCCTCTCTATACACCAAGAGGTGGTAAACTGGATCTTACGGGCTGACTCTGCCAAGGCATTTGGCCCAGACCAGTGACTGTCAGTTCTTCTTCCCTCCTGGAGGGTAGAGAGGGAAGGTCTCAGGATCCCTCACCAGTTTCAGACATGAGCAGGGGACAGAGAAAAGACTGAAAAGAGACATGCCAGAATTACTCACGTATTTGACATATATTTGTTGCTAGACATACAACCATTAATAAGAAAGAGTTAACCTTCGCCTTCTTGGAGTTTATTGTATAGGAAGCACTACTCAAAGTTCCAAGAACTTTCTGCAATGATGGAAATGTTTTATAGCTATGCTGTCCAGTGTGGTAGCCACGAGCCACATGCGGCTATTGAATATTTGAAATTGTCCACTGCAGCTGAAGGACTGAATCTGTAATTTCATTTAATTTTAATGAATTTAAATTTCAATAGTGACATGTGGTTAATGATGACTGTATTACACAGTGAAAGTCTCGAGTACTAAGTTCCCAAACCTGGTGGTCCATCAGAACCACTTGGGACCTTTTAAAAAGTTCAACTGTTTTAGTGCTCCACTTTTAAACCAATGAATTGTGATCCCTGGGCTGGGCCCTAGATACAATATTTTTAGCAGGTTTCCAATGACTCTTATGAAGCTAGCACAGCCCTTATTTTCAGGGAACCTCTGGACCACCGGTGGTTCAAAAGCTGTCACCTCTGGGTGGCAGAGTCATGTTTTTCACCCTTATTTTTCTCATCTTTATTTTGTTGTTGTTGTTGTTGTTGTTGTTTTGCAATGAAACTTATATTACAGAAATGTGATAAATAAAATCTTTTGAAAGATTTGCAGAGGGACAGCATAGTATACAATCCTGATTTAGGGATCAGACCTGAGTTTGAGGCCATTCTCCTTGCTGTATCACAACTTCTAAGCCCAATTTGTCATCTGGAAATAAGGTTGTTCTTATACCTTTGTTTTGGATATGAAAATAATTTTATCAGCTTTCTTTGCTTGACATTTACCCCTTATATGTTTTTCTACCCTTTGAATCTTTCTGTATTTTTATAATTAGCTATGTCTTTTGTAAATTACATATTATATTTTATTTATCCATTCTGACAATGTCTTAACTAAAAAGTTTAATCCATTTACATTTACAATAATTACTGATATATTTACATTCATTTCTGTGATATTACTTTGTGCTGTTTACCCCATTGTCTCTGTTCTTTTTTTCTCTCCTTTTTGGTGCCTTCTTTAGACTGACTTTCCCCCCTCATTTTATTTTCCTTTTACTAATTTAAATATTACGTACAATACCTAGGTTAAATAGTTTTCCTAGAAAATTTAACAAACATAACAGAGTCTAAAGTTAATAAAAATCTTTCTTCTCTTCCTAAATAGTACAAAACCTGGCTATGAGGATATCCTGACCTGTAGGCTGTAGTAGCTCTTTGTTTGAAGCCCTCCATTCGTTACTGTCATTCTGTACAGTTGAAGTGTAGATTTACGTACATATTTAGCACTTTTTTGACCATCTTTTCTGTTGTGTCTCAGACCTTATATCTGTGACCCCTTTCCTTCTACCTGAAGTACTTTTTTGAGAATGTCCTTTTGTGCAGGTGTGTTCTTGGCAAACTTTCTTAGCTTTTGTTTGTATAAAAATGTCTATCTCTCTCTATTCGTTTAGCCTTGGGGGTCATATTTTTGTAGGGCACATTATTCTAGGTTAAGTTATTTTCTGTTAGTACATTGAAGAAATTTTTCTATTGTCTTCTGGTTTCATTGTCATTGTTAAGTAATCTGCCAATCTAATTGTTATGTCTTTATAGATAATCAGTTTTATTTACCTTGGCAGCCCCCTCCTTTAAGCAATTTTTTATTATGGGAGTTTTCAAACATACATAAAAGTAGAGAAAATAGTATAGTGAACTAGATGTACTCATCACTGAGCTTTAACAATCATTATTACATGGACTCTGACTGCTATTAAGATCTTTTTTCCCCCCTTGGGTGTTCTAGTGTTACTGTGATATATATAAATGTGGATTTCTTTTTATTATCTTGCTTGGGGTTCCTGGATCTGAGAATTGGTGACATTCATTAATTTTAGAAAGTTTGTAACTATTTTCTCCTCCAATGTTGCCTCTCCCCCATTTTCTCCCTCTCCTCTTTTTAGAACTCTAACCAGATACATATCATACCTTTTTTCTCAAAGTCCCTTCTGTGTTTCTTAAAAAAGTCATCTTGTGTATGTTGCATTTTGGATAATTTTTGTGAGTTTGTCTTTAAGTCCACTAATTCTTCAGATATATCCTATCTGCTGTTAAATCTATCTATATAATTGTAAATTTCAATTACTATATATTTATTTTTAGAAACTCTACTTAGTTCTTTTATAAATAGACTTGGTCATTTTTATAATTTCTAGCAACTTGTTCACATGTTCCAACCTTTCTTTTATTTCTTTAAATATAAAGAACATGGCAAAAGGAGGTTTACAGTTGTGTTGAAAATAATACAATAATTAAAACATAATACAAGAATAAACTCTGTTTTGTGTACTCACAACTGTAAACCTACTTTTACTCCACCCTTTATTACACATAATAATTTCGTATTCTGTGCCTGATAATTCCAGTATCTGAAGTGTTGTTAACTGTTGTTCTACTGTCATTTCTGCTGGCTCTTACTCATAATCCTTTGTTTTTTTTTGTATGCTTTGTGATTTATATATTTTAAATGTACTCATTCCCTAGACTTCACCTGTAGGATTCTCTGAGGCCTGGGGTGATAGTGGGTTCTTTCAGGTACAGTTTTTGTTCACTTCTGCCATGTGGCTGGAGGTGCTATCTTCCAAAAACTACTTTGTGCTAAAGGTTTGAGGTTTCCTAGACTACCCAGTTGGTGTGAATTCAGGCTATAAACTTAGTGAGTACCAACTGTAGTTACTAATTCTTAAGGGAGAGTTTTTTCCCTTTTTTTGGCATCAAGATTTGAGGTATGAAGTTTTCCTTACTGTGCACTATGGGAGGTGTGTAAGGTCTATTTCTAGACCCTTCTTACAAGAATATGTAATTCTTTCACATGCCAACATGGAGAGGGACCTTTTATCACACTCTGCACTTTGGGTAGTCCTGTCTTTGTTTCTTATTTCTGTTCTGCCAGAGGAGAGGAAAAACTGAATCTCATGGTCCCCGGTTTTGGTCAGTGAGTGGGCCATTCAGGGCATCTATTTAGCCATATTTCCAGATATAGAAACTTTGTTTATAAGTCCTAAATAATTATGTAGTAAGTTGATATAGATAAATTGATAAAGTGAAGGTAAAAACTACTCTGTCCACCATTCTCCCTGCTCCAGGACTTGGTAGGGGACTGGGAGACGGAGTGACCAAGCGGAGGCAGGCAGACCTGGCCCTACCACCTACCAGATTATCCAGGGGAAAGTTCCGTTACTTCTCTGAACCTCAGTATCTTCATCTAAGCAGGAGACAGTAGTACTTAGTAGTACTTAGTAGGGACTAAAAAAGTAAAAAAGATAGTCATTATTTTTGTGGCCCACCAAGAGAACAAAACTTTGTAAAGTTTAACACTATTCTAATGTGGTGCATTAAGGGATTCTTCTTTCACTAGATGGCCCTAGCCCCTTCCCAGTGAGCCACCCGTGAGAGTGTTTAGTTTTAGTTTGCACAAGGGAAACACTGGTCCTCGGGATTCTGACACTTGCTTTTTGTACCATCTGTAGTGGTAGGAGGACTTCTGTCTGCCCACCTGCTATCAAAGAAGGCTGGGGTGGAGGTGGAGGCCGGATGGCCCTGCTCTGGACCTCTCCTGAGGCTGGCCGAGGAGGCAGCTCGAAAACTCCTCCCAGGTAAGACCCACCCTGAGATGGGGGGAGGTGAAGTCTAGTAGGTCCTGCTTCCGTTGCTGGAGATAAGAGTGGCAATGCTGCATATTAAACCCTTATCAGATGTATCATTGGCAAATATGTTCTCCCATTCATTTCTGGATATTTATTTTGTATCCCGCTACTTTACTGAAGTCATTTATCAATTCTAGTGGTTTTTGGTGGGATCTTTGAGGTTCTCTATATACAGTATCATGACATCTACAAATAATACTTTTTCCTTTCCAATTTGGATGCCTTTTATTCCTTCTTCTTGTCTGATTGCTGTGGCTAGGACTTTCTATGATATGTTGGTGAAAGTGAACATCCCTGTCTTGTTCCCAATCTTAAAAGAAACACTTAGTTTTTGCCCATTGAGTACGATGTTGGCTGTGTGTTTGTCGTATATGGCCTTTATTATGTTCCCTCTATTCTCACTTTACTGAAAGTTTTTATTATAAATGGGTACTGGATTTTATCAAATGTTTCTTCTGCATCTGTTGATACCGATTATGTGGTTTTTATCCTTCATTTTGTTTATGTGGTATATCATGCTTATTGATTTGTTGATATTGTACCAGCCTTCCATTCCTAGAATAAATCCCACTTGATTATAGTGTATGATCTTTTTAATGTATTGCTGGATATGGTTTGCTAATATTTTGTTGAGGATTTTAGCATCTATGTTCATCAGGGATATTGGTCTTTTAAATTTCTTTGTAGTGTCTTTATCTGGTTTTGGAATTAGGATAATGTTGGCCTTGTAAAATGAGCTTGGGAATCCTCCCTCCTCTTGAATTTTTTGGAATAGTTTGAGAAGGACAGGTGTTAGTTCTTCTTTGTTTGGTAAATTTTCTTGTGAAGCCATTCAGTCCAGGACTTTTGTTTGTTGGGAGGTTTTTGATTACTGCTTTAATTTCATTAGTTGTAATCTGTCTATTCAGATTCTCTGATTCAGTTTTGAAAGATTGTACATTTCTAGGAACTTATCCATTTTGTCTAGATTGTCCAATTTATTGCCATATAGTTGTTCGTAATATTTCATTACAATCCTTTGAATTTCTTTGGTGTCAGTTGTTACTTTTCCTCTTTTACTTCTGATTTCATGTATTTGGGTCTTCTCTCTCTTTTTCTTGGTGAGTCTTATTAAAGGTTTGTCATTCTTGTTTATCTTCTCAAAGAACCAGGTCTTGGTTTCATTGATCTTCTTGGTATTGTTTTATTTACTCTATTTTTTTTTCTTCAACTCATTTTGGGCTTTGTTTGTTGTTCTTTTTCAAGTTCCTTTAAGTGTAAAGTTTATTTGAGATTTTTCTTTTTTCTTTAAAAAAATTTTTTTACATTTTCAATTATTTATTTATTTATATTTAGACAGAGGGGAAGGGAGGGAGAAAGAGAGGAAGAGAAACATCAATGTGTGGTTGCCCCTTGCGTGCCCCCTGCTAGGGACCTGGCTCGCAACCCAGGCATATGCCCTGACTGGGAATCGAACTGGCGACCCTTTGGTTTGCAGGCTGGTGCTCAATCCACTGAGCCACACCAGCCAGGGCTCTTTTTTAAATTTTAATAATGTATTTATTTAATCCAACAGATTTCAAAATGTTATTAACATTTAATCAGTATAAAAATTATTGATGAAGTTTTTTTTCATTTTAGGTCTTTGAATTGTGGTATGTAAGTTACATTTAGGGTACATCCTGATTTGGATGTTAGGGTTTCATCAGAAATATTGAATGTATATTTATTTAAAATTATTTTATTTTATTTTATTTGAATGTTTATTTAAATTTTATAAAATGTGCAGTTAAAAAAGTAAATTCACATACCCCAGTTCTGTATGTGAATCAAACATATTTCAGTTACTTTGCAGTAACTGAAACAAGTTTCAGTATTTTTGTTTTAGAATATTTTTAAATTAATGTTTAATGATTATGCAATTACAGTTGTCCTGATTTTTCCCCTTTTGCCTGCCTCCACCCACCACCCCCTACTCCCTCAATCAACCCCCACACCTTTGTTATGTCCATGGGTCATGTATATAAGTTCTTTGGTTACCCCATTTCCTATACTGTACTTATATTCCCATGACTATTCTGTAACTACCTATTTGTACTTTTTTTAAAAAAGTATATTCAATTGATTATGCTATTACAGTTATCCCAATTTTTCTACCTTTACCCCTCTCCGCCTGGTACCCCCATTCCCTTCAGTGATCCCCTCCCCTTAGTTGATGTCCATGGGTCGTATGTGTAAGTTCTTTGGCTTCTCCATTTCCTATACTGTTCTTAATATGCCCCCGTCTATTTTGTACTTACCCAGTTACACTTCTAAAGCCCTACACCATTTTTTCCTTTCCCTGTCTTCCCCTTCCCAGCTGATAACCCTCCAAATGATCTCCATATCTATGATTCTGTTTTTGTTCTAGTTGTTTGCTTAGTTTCTTTTTGTTTTTGTTTTTTAGATTCAGTTGTTGATAGTTATGAGTTTGTTGTCATTTTAATGTTCGTAGTTTTGACTTCTTTTTCTTAAATAAGTCCCTTTAACATTTCATATAATAAGGTCTTCGTGATAATGAATTCCTTTAGTTTTACCTTGTTTGGGAAGCATTTTATCTGCCCTTCCATTCTAAATGATAGCTTTGCTGGATAGAGTAACCTTCATTGTAGGTACTTGCCTTTCATGACTTCGAATATTTCTTGCCAGTTCCTTCTAGCCTGCAAAGTTTCTTTTGAGAAATCAGCTGATAGTCTTATGGGAACTCCTTTGTTCGCAACTCTCTGCCTTTCTCTTGCTGCTTTTAAGATTCTCTTTATTTTGAACCTTTGGCATTGTAATTATGATGTATCTTGGTGTGGTCCTCTTTGGTCCAATTTGTTTTGGACTCTCCATGCTTCCTGGACCTGTATGTCTATTTCCTTTGCCAAATTAGGGACATTTTCTTTCATTATTTTTTCAAATAAGTTTTCAATTTCTTGCTCTTCCTCTTCTCCTGGCACCCCTATGATTCGGATGTTGGCCCTTTTGGAGATGTCCCAGGGTCTTCTTAAACTCTTCTCGTTTTTTTGAATCCTTGTTTCTTCATTTTGTTTTAGTTGAATGTTTATTTCTTCCTTATGTTCCAAATCACTGATCTGAATCCCGACTTCCTTCCCTTCACTGTTTGTTTCCTATGGATTTTTCTTTATTTCCTTTAGTAGAGCCTTCATTTCTTCCCTTGTTCATTTGCCATACTCAACGAGCTCTGTGAGCATTCTGACCACTAGTGTTTTGAACTCTGCATCTGATAGGTTGGCTATCCCTGCATCAGTTAGTTCTTTTTCTGGAGTTCTGTTCTGTTCCTCCAATTGGACCATATTTCTTTGTCTTCTCATTTGGCAGCCTCCCTATGTCTGTGTTCTAGGTAAAGCCACTTTGACTCCTGTGTTAGTGCACCTGTTAGGTTGTATGGGGCGGAGTGCTGGGTATTTGCCAGGGCAGGCAGCCTGCTTCACCATTTTGTGGCTCCATGTGTGAGGACAGGGTTGAAGAGGAGACAATGCTGCTGCTGGCTGACTTCTGCGGCCTTGCCTGGCAGCCACCCCACTTCCAGTCAGTTCATCCACTTCCCATATGTGACTGGTGCCTTTTCAGCTGCTGCCCTGGTTGTGGTTACCAGACTGGATGGGTTTGCATATGTTCTTGGCTCTCCTGAGAAACTGGCAGTTTCTTCTGCCACCCCAACCCCCACTGGTTTTTACAGCTAGAAGTTATGAGGCTTTTATTTTTCCTGACACTGGAATCCTGGTATGTGTGGTCTGGCCTGGGGCTGGGATCACTCGCTTGCAAGGTCTCCCTGATTTTTATCCATCACATATGAATGTGGGACCTCCTGTTCCACTAGCTGCCACTGCCACCTTGCTGCTGCTGGCTTGCTGCCACCACACCACATCTTCTCTATTCTGGCTTCCCACCTCCACCCTCCATACCAGTCTGGATGAATATTGCTTCTTTAAATCCTTGATTGTCACACTTCCATACAGTTCAATTTTCTGGCAGTTCTGGGTGTTTTTTATTTCAAAATTAGTTCTGATTCTTGTTATTGTTGTGCAAGGAGGCCAGGCGTGTCTACCTATGCCTCCATCTTGGCTGGAAGTCTCTCTTGTTTCTTGAGACATGCCTGTAATACTATAAATTTCCTTCTTGAGACTGCTTTTGCTGTGTCCCATAGATTTTGGGTTGTTGTCTTCTCATTTTCATTTATTTCAAGGTATCTTTGATTTTGATTTCTTCCTTAATCTCATTGTTAACCCATTCATCGTTTAGTAACATTTGATTTTGAGGAGGCATGAAATGAGGTCAGAGAGCAGAGAGTGCTTGGAGAACCTCAAATATCACTGAAATGAGAGGTTCTTGTTTTTGGCTAAGCTGTGTGCAGGGCTGCAGGCCACGCGTCACTGTGTTTGTCTGGTGGGGCAGTAGCCAGCCTTGACGGCATCAGCTGGACACCATGTTCTCTTCAGGGTGTGGTAGAGGCTGAGGACTGTTCACACCCAAACACATCACGCTGTGCTTTCCACTGGCCTCTTGGCCGTCTCACTTCTCCCTTTCACACAGCACCTGCCCATCATTCGGGGGGAAGAGCTGAGGAGAGTGAGCGAGCTGGGCTCACGTCTCACTCATGGCTCACGGCCTGAGTGTCTCCTTACAAACATCGTGTCCAGTGCAATTCATCCCTAGAGGAAACTCTGCCTGGTTGCGCCCTTCTTTTTTTATGCCATTTAAGAAAATGTTGTCTCGAGAAATGTCCATATTGAAAAGTGCATATTGGAGCCAGCACTAGTGTGTCTACCATTTAGGTCAAGAAATAGAATTTTTTCATTCCCTCTCTTTTTAACACTGCCTGACTTTTCTGAAATATTCCTTCAGGCCCTTCTTGGTTGTGACTCACATTCTGCTTGCTTGCCACTTGTGTCTGCCGGATAGCAAGTTTCTTGTCTACAGTCAAGGTTGCTGAACCTTGTAGGTCTTGGATGTTTTGATGATTTTGTTCACAGTTCAGTGACGCACAGGCTGCTTTGGGTAGTTTGACCTTCTCGCCTGGAAAGGAAATCTCTGCCTCTGGCTGGCTATCTCATTTCTTGTCTTGAATCAGAAAGTACTGGGGTGGGGTGGGCAGAGCACTGGGCTTGTGGGGAGAGGGCGGGGGAGTGGGCACACGGCAGGCATTCCCATCCCAGCTCTGTTTGGCTTTCTCTGTGTGACCTTTGAGTCACTTCCTTGCAAGCGTGACTTTTCCTACCTGTAAATTGAAGGTTGGACCACCTCAGCGGTTTAGTGGTTTATGTCCGTTTTTTTAAAAAATAATAATTTGGCCCCTAAACTCTTTTTTTAAAGATGGTATCTCAAACTGGCTTCTGTGTTTAGATCTAGATATGTTTAATTTGGTCAAAATGGTGTTTAAAAAAGTATATGAGAGGAATCAGAAAACACAAACTTCCAGTTATAAGATATATAGGAATTGGGGATGTAATATACAACATGATGACAATAGTTAACGCTGCTGTGTGATGTATTTTGTAAGTTGCTAAGAGAGTAGATCCTAAAAGTTCTAATTACAAGGAAAAAAAATTTTTTTTTCTTTTTGTATCTATATGAGATGATGGAGGTTAATAAAACTTATTGTGGTAATCATTTCACAATATATGTAAGTCAAGTTATTATGCTGTATACCTTAATATTATACAATGCTGTATGTCAATTATATCTCAATAAAACTGAAAGAAAAAATTAAAAAGCATATGAATGGCTTCTAAGGGGGCTTGCTCTTAAGGGTGCCACAAGCCCCATCACTTCCCATGGTCTACACCCTGTCTGCTTCCCACTAAGTTGCCGTCCTGGCCTCTGAAGGCAAGTGTAAAACAGATAAAAGTAAAGCTGCTGTATCCGAAGTGAGCATGTGTGGCATGTGACAACCTGGAGTGCAGCTCTCTGCTTTCCTCCTCATGATGGGCAAGAGCCCGAGGGTCATGTGGAGCAGTGTTTGACAGCATCTGGCTTCCATGGCCACTAGGAGCGCTCCAGTGATATATTTCCTTCTCTGGATGAGTCTCTGGTAGATTGCCCAGGAGATAAAGTGGGAAGTACTGGCCAAGGCAGCAGGCTTTGGGCCTGTATCCAGCCATCCCTACCTCCTAGCTCCTGTCTGGGGACAAATTTTGTGATTGTTCAGCCTTTCAGACTCCCACTGGCATGCCATATGGAACGGTGAATCTGCTTCATGGCGTGAACCCAGGAGAGACCCCTGTCACCTGTACGGCAGGGATTGGGACCTTCATTGTGGAATTTGCCACCCTGAGCAGCCTCACTGGTGACCCTGTGTTTGAAGACGTGGCAAGAGTAGCCCTGATGCGTCTCTGGGAGAGCCGGTCAGATATCGGACTGGTAGGTTGGCTACACCCTTCCTGTCTGAGTCAAGTCAGCTATTGGCCCCTGCTTGTGAGGCCCAGGGCTCTGAGCAACAACTTGTGGTGCAGCCAAAGGCAACTGAGGGTGACCTCAGGAGTGGTCCAGGTCTTAGGCTCATAACAACAAAAATAGACCAAGCATCCACTTCAGGTTTTGGTGCAAAGGTAAAGAGAGCATGAGAGAACATCTTTTGGTTGGGAAAAGAGACTGTGTTAAGCTTTGACTTTGAATTTCTCTGATTGCTAGGGAGTCATATGCTTCATGCCCCTGACTCATTTAGTGACCTTAGATCGTCAGCCCACCTCGTCCTCATTTTCACTGTCTATTTTTGTTTGTAAAACTGTGTTTCTTAGAGTACTAGTTTTGAGAGATGGTGAATGGTTATTCCATGAAAAAAATGATTCCCAATCAATTAAGTTGGGGGATACTATATATACTGTCTTTTTTCGGGGGGAGAGGGGTCACAATGAATGTGAGTAGGTTAAAAGTGTTAAATCCTATGGCAAATAAATTTATTCAGCATTGCTTAACTCAAAATTTCCCAAACTTATTTGACCCCAGAGCTTCTCTTTCCTCTCTATACCTGCTAACCCATGGAAACTTAACACACTTTGGCCAGTTGATTTCTAAAGGCAGTTTCACTCCTAAACTGGATAATCTAACAAAACAGTAATTTAACCAAAGATGTCCATGAAATAACATTAGATTTAGTCAGAACTTGGTTTGAGCCCAAGCTTTGCTACATTGGAACTGTGTGACCCTGAGCAAGTCACTCAACCTCTCTGATCCTCAGTTGCTTCAGCAGTAATGATAATGTATTAATACCTTCTTTATTGAGTCATTGACTTATAAGGGCTGTTAACTGAAAGTGATTCAGGTGGAAGCATGTTTTACACAAAGTCTATGTCAACTTGACAGTGGAACTCTTGTGAGGAATCCTTGAAAATCCATTAAAAAGATGCCCCTCTGGAGACCTATAGTAACTCTGTTATTAAGTCCAACACAGGCAGTTTTTTCTCTAGGCCTGGAACCATAGTGGACTCTGTGGGTGCCCTGCCCACATCCTCTCAGCCCTTCCCATTTTTGTGCACACTGGCTTGTCTTCTGAACACCATCATCTGTGTCTCTTTGCCTACCAGCTTTTTCTTGTGTCTGGATCCTGCTTTTTTTCTTCAACTGGGAGTACCAGGACTTAATGTTAACCGTGGAGCAATTCTCAGCCAGTGACTGATACTGATGGGAATTTGTGGATAATCACCCCAGTTCTCTGTCCCTCGACTAAAATAATGAAGAGGCTTGTGCTCTATGCTGACTGCCAGAGCTGCCCCTGGGATTGAGCTCCAGTTCCCGCAGTGGTAGCTTGCCTGGTGGCCTACCCTTTTGGGGCTGCCTCCCTTTCCTGCCTCCCTTTCCTCTACTGGCATTTCCAGGAACTCACCTTCATAATCAACTACTTGCAGTTTTCCCTGCTGAAGATCTGCTCCTGGGAGAACCCAAACTAACACAGAAGAGTTAGCAGTTTCTTTGAGTAACAGATGAAGTTATCAGCTTCCATCAGGATCTAAGTTATATGGACAACATATCTTTTCATTTAAATGTTTTAGATTTTATTTTAAAATGGTTTCATGAGTCACATGGTTCACAAGTCAAAAGATACCAAAAAAGGACCCAGTGACACCTGTGAAGGTCCTCTAACTCCTATCTTCAGCTCTCCAGTTCCTCTCCTTACAAGCAATCACTGCACCAGTTTCTTGGTTTTTCTCCCTGAGTTGATTTAAGGAAATATGTTAAGTATGTCTTGTGTCTTCCAGGGGTGTCCAGCCTTTTGGCATCTCTGGGCTGCACTGGAAGAAGAAGAGTTGTCTTGGGCCTCATATTAAATACACAAACACTAATGAAAACTGATGAGCAAAATAAAGATTTTAAGTAAATTTATGATTTTGCATTGGGCTGCATTCATAACCATCCTTGGCTGCATGTGGCCCACAGGCTGGGGGTTGGACACCTCTGCAACAGTGGAATCACGTGCAGAATTCTGAGTAATCTGGGACAGATTGTGGGAACAGCAAGTTCTCATCTCCCAGGTCACATGCACTCTAGACAGGGGATAAACACTCCAAATCATTGTTTTGTTTTGTTTTGTTTTCATTTTTGCTCAGTGTGGATATTAAGTTCTCAGACATGTGCGTGATGAGCATCTCCACTCTACAGATATGCATGATGCAGCCTTGGCCCCCCACCCCTGTACCCCAATCGCCTACATGTCCTCCAAGAAGCACTGGGGTGCCTGCCTTGCTTCTCACTAGGCAGTAAGGGATGCGGGGAGATCCTTGCTTTGTTTTGGGCCCTCTTTTGGGACAAGCTATCTCTCTCTTAGGTCGGTAACCACATTGACGTGCTCACTGGCAAGTGGGTGGCCCAGGACGCGGGCATTGGGGCTGGTGTGGACTCCTACTTTGAGTACCTGGTGAAGGGAGCCATCCTACTTCAGGATAAGAAGCTCATGGCCATGTTCCTAGGTAAAGGCAGGGTAAGGGGGCTTTCCCATGACTTTTCTTATTGATATGTGGTTTGCTTATAAACTTTCAGTTGCTCCCAAAGGCAATACAGTGCCCAATGGATGCCCACTACACTTCTCGTTGCCTTCTTACAAGAGCCAATGAACTATGCTGCATTCTCTGTGGGTGGCCCTGGATTTCTTAATTCCAGGCCATTGCACATGTGTTTCCTATGCCTGGAATACCTTTATATCCTGTCTTCATGTGCCCAAATTCTATTTAAACTTCAAGGCCCAGCTTAAAATGTCACCTTGCCCAAGAAATAGCTTAATCCTTCCTTTGAATTTAGGGTCTTCACCCTCTCTCTTGCAGCCAGCTGTCATCCACAGTTACAGCATCCATACCTTCTTCATCTTTGTATTTCCCACAATGCTTTGCATGAGGTAGGTTGTAGATTGAGTAAAAATATTTTACCTTTCAGGCCCTTAGGCACTATTAATGATTATATTGAGGAATTGTTGAGCGCTTAATAATAATTATTATAGCTGCCATTCATTTGTTCAGCAAATATTTATTGAGTACCATTGATAGATCAAGTGCTGTGCCAAGTGCTGAACATGGACTGTTTTATTTATTCCTTACAACACTATGTGAGATTGTCTTATTTATTTGCATGTGTATTTGGTCCTTCATTTATTAAGATAGTATTGTGCATATTTACTATGTACTATCTTAGTATTGGGGATTCTGAAATCAACAAAACAAAATCCTGGCCCTCATGAATTTATGATTGAGTGGGAGGTATAAGTTCAAGTTCCCACTAGAATGTAAGCTTCTTGAGGACTGAGGGCCTTCTTAGCCTTGTTTGCCACCCTGGGTGTCAGGCACTGTAGTTGGTGCTCAGTGAATATTTCTGGGTGAATAAATGACTGAACAACCCTATGAGGTATATAACATTGTTCTCCCTACTATACAGATAATGAGCCTGAGGCTTAAGAGGGAAAAACTTACCCAAGGTCACAGCTAACATATGGTGAATCTGGAGCTAGAATTTGAGCCTGGAAGTTTGACTCCAGACCCTATGCTTCTTCCTCTCTGCCTCATTGTATCCTAGTCTGCTTTGAGGCTAGACCATCATATGATCCTTCAAAAGTTTGAGTCCATGCTTCAGTTGCCAAGGGCTGCCTTTTGTCTCCCTAATGACTGACACATCCATTTTCCCATCTCCACTGCAGAATATAACAAAGCCATTCGGAATTATACCCGCTTTGATGACTGGTACCTGTGGGTGCAGATGTACAAGGGGACTGTATCCATGCCGGTCTTCCAGTCCTTGGAGGCCTACTGGCCTGGACTTCAGGTAGGAACGATCAGAGAGGGTGGTCGTTTTCCTATGGAACTGGCAAAGCCAGCTCATTCTGAAGTAAAAGTCAAAGCAGGTAGTTCATTTGCTTCCATACTTATTTTGGAGGGATGGTTTGGGGATGGAAGGGGGAAAGAGTGAATTGGACAGATTTAGGATTCTGCCTCATGGAATATTCCAAGGGGAGCTGTAAGGAGTCAGGAAGCTAGCTTCCAGTTTGCTATGGAAGGTTGTTAATATAACGCAGAGAGTGTCTTTCCACGCTGGGCAGCAACAGCCATCGGCAACAGCTGTTTCTCCACTGGACATTTCTACCTAATCTCATTCTTGAGAGTGGTCCTGAGGAAGGACGTGGAAGCAGCTGGGGCTGTGCTGACTGCCCTAATTATGTTTTTCCATTACACAGTGTGAGACGCAGCTGGAAGGGACCTTGGAGCCCATCTAATCACCCCCTAGGTGTACCAAAATATTTTTATAAATTAGTTTTTTTTTTATTTTAAGAAAAGGTAATAAAATGGATGTGGTTGTAAATTTAAAAAGCTCAAAAGGGAATACTCTCAAAAGTAAGTCTTGAGCCCCCACCCTTAGACCCTCTCCCCAGTCCAGGCCCTATTATCAGTTTTCTGTATATCTTTCCAGAACTTTATATAAATAAATATATGAATATCTATATCCCTCTTTTTTCTTTTTATATGTGGGAACATATACATATGCTTTTATCACTGATTATATCTTAGAGATTTTCCTTATTGAAACAATATAGTTTTACCTTTTTTTAACAGTTGCATATATTCCGTTGAATAGATACACTGCAATTTATTTAATTAGCACCGCATTATGGCTCTTAGCCAACCCTCTTATTATACAGATGGGAAAAAGGCGCAAAGAGAATTTATTGATAATGTTAAATATTGGTCCAGCTCTCCTAAGATCTTCACATTTTATTTCTTGAATACCCCCTAGAAGAATTTTGAAAAACTAAAGCACCCATTGCATATTTTTAATCTACATGTGTCTGAATAGTTGCATATCATACCCTTTTCTCCTTGAACTCATATTTCCACTCTACTCCCCCAACAGAATGTTATCCTAATTATTGTATTTTATGCTGAAAAAAATTTTCTGATACCCTATTATATATCTGTGTAACAAACTTTGGCTTTAGTCCATAGAAGTTAAAAATAGAAAATTCCCTATGACCATAGGCTCTGAGTATTCAATTTGTTTTCTTCTGGATTTAGTTATTATTAGTATATAAATGATTAAAACAACATTAATAGCTTACGATATTTTGATAAGTCATTATAAAACTTAAAAGCAATTATTTTGGAAATGTATTTCTTAATGAGATTTTGGGGCTTTCTTATTTTTAAGTAGTTCGTGATAAATCAAATATTTATGAAAAAGTGATTTATGGGCCAGACACTTTACTCAGGAGCATCACAGCATACTGAGGTAACTGTTGTTTCATAAATGAAGGAAAGAGGCTCAGAGATGTTACGTTTGTTCATTTGCTTACCCAACAAATATTTGAATGCCTTCGCTGTTCAGCCTCTGTTCAGCCCCTGTTCAGCCCCTGCGGCCCTCGTGAAGTTTATAGGGGGCAAGACACAAACACTTCAACAGATAAATAGATGAAGTAATAATTGCAATGGCTGAAATAGAGGCTAAAATAGAATATTGGATAGGGACCAACTTTAGACAAAAAGGCCTCTCAGATGTGATGATATTAAAGTTGATACTTGAAGAATTGGGGGTGGGAGGCGATTTTCTAGGCAGAAGAAATGTGCGTGAAGGTCCTGAATCAGGAAAGAGTTGGGTGTTTATCAGAAACAAGAAAAGCCACAATCCAGGGAAGGAAAAGATCAATGGATGGAAAATCAGCAGGGCCTTGAGGGCCACAGTGGGTTGCCTTGACTCTATGCCAAGCCTGTGGGAAGCCCAGGGGTCTGTAGTAAGATGGTTACTCTGGCTGCCTTGGGGACAGCGAGCTGCAGAGGGCAAGAGGACAAGTGGTGGGATAAGTAAGGAGGCCTTTGAGGTCATCCCAGTGTGAGATGCTAATGACCAAACCAAGTGGTGGCTCTAGAGATAAAGAGAGAAAAATCTTGATGTTTTGAAGATGGAATTGACAGGAAGTGCTGATGGAGTAGATGTGGGTGGGGCATGAGGGGGGAGTCAAGGACACCCACCAGGTTTCTGGCCAGAGTGGCTCAGTAGGCGCTGGTGCCATTTACAAGGAGGAAGAGAGGAGCGAGTAGTGAGTTAGCTTTGTAGGGAAGTGAGGGAGCCAAGAATTTTGCTTGGGAAAAGCCAAGTTTGTTCTGTTCCCGAGGCATCCAAGGGAGATGTCAAGAAGGTCAGCTGTTTCCCTGTGAGCTTATGTTAACAGTAGCTACTTAACAACAGCTAGTAAAATTACAAATGCATATATCCCCTGATCCTGCAATCCTAATTCTGGAAATTTATCTTACAGATATACTTTGCATATGTTTGAGGTGACATATGTACAAGGTTATTTACTGCAACATTGATAAAGCAAATAGCAAAAGATTAGAACCAAGCCAACTGGCTATTCATAAGGACCTAATTAAATTATGTTCCAAGCCGTGGAATGCTGTGCAATAGCAGGAGGGAGCTCTTCATGTACTTACTTGGGGAAAAAAATCAAGCTATATTGTTAAATGAATAAAGGGAGCCTCAGAACAATACATTTAACCAGCTATATTTAATGTGGGGGAAATAATATATATTCATACATCTTTGCTTTTGTTTACAAACTAATACAAATGGTTATATGCTGGGGTGTAGGGTAGGAGTGAGATTTAGTACAGTCAACCTTTTTTCTGTTCTTAAGATTTTGAACCAGATGACTACCTTACCTATTTAAAAACTGTTAGTGGCCAGCATCAACTGAGCACATACTGGCAGCCAGGCACTTTGTATACAACTTCCATCCCTCACAACAATGTATGAGATACATTTTGCATCTTAATAGATGGGGCTCAGAGAAGGTAAGTATCTGCTTTGAGGCCTCACAGTGGGTAAATGGCCAACTCAGGGTTTGATTGCAGGCCTTCTTGGCTCTAAAGCTTTTGCTTTTCTTTTCCCTGAGGTTGTAGGATTTGAGGCCTGGTGGCTGCCTGCCTGACAACCATTTCTCTCCTGCAGAGCCTCATTGGGGACATTGACAATGCCATGAAGACCTTCCTTAACTACTACACTGTGTGGAAGCAGTTTGGGGGGCTCCCAGAATTCTACAACATTCCTCAGGGATACACAGTGGAGAAGCGAGAGGGCTACCCACTTCGGCCAGGTAAGCAGCAGCTCTGGCCATCAGGTTTGGTCCTCTGGACCCCAAATCCTCATGTCTTTGAGGCTTCCATGCCTCACAAGTGTTCGCAAGTCTCCCCCCACCCCCCGCCCCCGGTCTGGTTCTTCCAGTGGCTCTGGATGGTTTTCCTGCTATGATCTATCCTCATCTTTTCACATAAGGAAACTGAGGCCTGTTAGGTTGAAATGGCTTGCCCAGGGCTGTAAGTATAGGAGCTAAGACTGGAACCAAGGTCTCCTAATAAGTATGCTCTTTCAAACTTGAGCAAGTGAATGAGATGGAAGAAGCCAGGCTGACTCCTTTTGAGTTCCTGCCATCAAGGTTTCAGAAGTTTTGGCAAACTTCCAATGTCAGTAGGTCAGATAAATTATTCTTCTATAGTAAGACACGTCAGAACTTTGGAATAGACTTTAGGAATGAATCATTTGGTCTCATCCACCTCCTCACTTGCAGCTCAGAAATCAAGATGCAGAGAAGGAAGGGACTACACACTAGATAAAAGCCTTAAATTCCTTTCCAGCTCTGATCCTCTGATTCACTGCAGGAAAGTTAAACGTCGTGAGGTGGGAAAGGGAAAAGGGGTCAGAGGAAGGAAGCTTAGTCAGCACACACAATCATTCCCTGCCCCAAAATAGGGTACTACCATTGTCCTAGACTCTTCACACCTTCCCGTATGAATGCCTTTTAGCTGTGGGACAGGACTCCTAGTGGCTTCTGCCCATTCTGCCCTCCTCTACCCCATTTCCTTCCTTCTCCATGCAAGTGATTGTTGTAGGAGTTGTGGAGAGGGAACAGAAGAAGGAGTAAGACAGCCACTGAGAAGAGCAAATCAGTCACTTTTGACTCCTTAGAGGCTGCTGTTCCTGGTATTTTTCATGCATTTATTCTCATGGCTTTTTTTTTTTTTTTAAGAGAAAACTCTGAAGGTATCATTTCAAGTGTTACCAATAGGTAAACTGAAGACAGAGTTTGGGATGAAATGTGGGACTTAGACTTACTTGTTTTCAGGGTTAGAAGGAACCTGAGAGGTCTTCTAATTGAAATCCCCTTATAGTAGCCACGTCAAGTGGTTATCTGGTCTTTGTGTGGTTACTGCCAGTGGCAGGGAGCTCACTACTTACGGAGGCAACCCGTTGCATTTGCAGGATAGGCTATCAGGGAGGCATCAGTGGAAAGGAAGGCACCACATCCAGGAATCCAGCAACACCTTAGTCCAGTCACCCTTCCTATCCCAAAACAATAGTAAATGGGAGATAAGATGCTACTCTATAATTAGATTAGCCAGTGCCTTCTGTTCTGGTACGTGTATCTGATCAGCAGTGTTGACACACAGAGTTTAGCAAGGTCTCTGAGGACTGTTACCCATCCATCCCCACCCCCAGTCCAAATCTAAACCTTGGGGTGTCACCATCTCCTAGAGAGGTGGCCGGATATACAGGAAATTAAAGCAGTTATTAGGAAACGTAGGCCTTTGTGTGAGGGAGAGAAAACAAATGACTGACCCTGGGTGCACTGATCCAGCTGGCTGCCAGAAACAGGAGGGGAGGCTCCTCAGAGCAGCACTACCTTTTCTTTCCTTGAACACACGCAGTGTGTTCACCTACGTGTCCCAGTCTGTGTCTCAGAATATGAGTGATTAGATTGGCAATTGTCTAGAGGCCTTTGGGGTAAGAGGGGGAGAAGGAGGAGAAAACTGGGGAGAAGGCAGAGATCTTTTCTCCGAAAACAAGAAATAGAGTTTGCAATAATAAATCAAAAGAGAGGGCAGTGCTGATCAAGGAGGAAACAGGGAAGGGCAATAATCAGGAGGGGAGGTTGGTATGCGGAGGGGAGACTTCATTCCTCTCTGAGAAAAGACAGGCAAAGAAGTAGAGCAGTAGCTTCCACCCACTGGGGCCACCCTAGAAGTCAAATCTTTCATTTCTATAATAGCTCTTCAGATATTTGAAAGCAATAAGCACATTTTCCTGGGTTTCTTTTTCTCCAAAATAAATATTCTTATCTAGACCAACTGTTGGCTAATACTCATCTTCAGATGGGATCCATGTCTGAACATCAAATTCCATTTGTGGTGTAGGTTAAGCAAGACTGTTGCCCTGCTCTGGGCATGGAGGCCAGATGGCTGCATCTTCACTAGATTGAAGGTTGGCTCTTGAACATGTTGGCCTTCATGTTTTGCTTCATCCCATCTCAGAAAGGGCCTTATTATGACAGGCTCATCCTCTTCTTAAGTTTTAGGTAGGTTGGGCTGTGAGTGACATTAAAAAAAAAAAAAGGTAGTAGTTTGGTTAAGATAGAAATATTTCTCTCTCATGTCTGGCTTTATATGGCTTTCTATGGTGTCAGGGACCCTAATCCCACACCCGGCTGCTGAGAATAGATGTTAGTCTCGGCAGCCATGTATTTGGCGAAAGAGGGATCCTGTTACTAAGGAAGAAGGAAGGAAGAGATATTGGGAGAGAGGCAGCTGCCTCTGCCACATCCTCTGCCCGGAGACTGGTTGCTTGTTTCTTCCTTGGAATGGGAGTCCATGGTCAGTTTTAATGCGGGTCTCCACTAAGCTTCAGGCTTTGGGTCTCTTGGCTCTGGAAACTCAGCATTGAGTGAGTTGTCCCATGTTCCTTCCTCCTAGTGGGGGTTCTGGAGACAAGGTATGGAGGGGAAGAGTTTCTCACTACCCTAAGTGGGCCTGAACCTTCCCTGATCAGCCACCCGGTGAATATTTGCTTTGGATTTTGCAGAGCTCATTGAGAGCGCCATGTACCTCTACCGTGCTACAGGGGATCCTACCCTCTTAGAGCTTGGAAGAGATGCTGTGGAGTCCATTGAAAAAATCAGCAAAGTGGAGTGTGGTTTTGCAACAGTAAGTGTTTCCGTGATTCAAAGAATTGGGAAATGTCTCCCCCGCTGCTAGAGAGTCTCTTTAAGGGTAGAACATTGGGAGTTCTGGAATATTAGCACTGGAAAACCTTAGAGATATACATAATGCCTTTATTTTATAAATGGGGAGACTAAGGGACAGAAGCTAAGAGCCTTGCCAAAGGTTACATAGCAGAAGTGGATCTAGTATTAGTTCCCAGAGTCTTAACTCCATGCCCTTGGCATTCTTCCTGCTTCAGAGATCCATTAGCTGTTGGAATAGGCTACTTGGCAAGAGTGAGTTTAGTGAAAAGGCCTATAAAATGGGTTCTAGAAGGGAAATTCAGAGGCCCATAACCTTATATTCAAACCTGGAGATCCTTAATGAAACAACCTACTAGTCTCACAGATATTTATTGAATACCTTTCATGGGCCAGGCACTGTGCTAGGATGAGGGTTATTGTGATGAAGAAAGACCAAACCCTGAGCTAACATTTTATTAGGGAAAGCCACGGACGAGTATGAGGGAGACAAGGCCAGGGTAGCTGGAGTGGAGTGCGTGAGGAAGAAAGGAGGAGGAGATCAAGTCCCAGAGGTGGGCAGGGCCTGGATCACATGTAGGGCTTTGTATTCGCTGTGGGGAAGAGTTTGGCTTTTGTTCTGCTGGGAATGGGAAGCCTGGGTAGGATTTACAGCACAGCAGTGACATGGTCTGATTTTATTTTAGAAAGATCACTGTGGCTGCTCTGTGGAGAATGGATTGAAAGGGTCAAGAGTGAAACCTATGTCACAGCCTTAGAGGACCCAAGCAGGCAAGATGTAAATAGCCATTACAGGCATTTAAAACCCAGATGTGTAAGAAAATAGGCTGGAGGAAAATTCACCAAATAGCCAACAGTGGATTTTTATTTTAGGGTAAAGGATTAAAAACAAACAAACAAGGAACCTTCATTTTCAAACTTTCATGTAATTATATTCTATAAGTAGAACATAGATACATATATTTAAAGATAAGACATATGTATGTAGGGGAAAAACAAAGCAATGGTGTTTTATTTTCCAATCCGTTGTATTGTGTACTAAGCTAAAGTGGCTAAGTCCATTGGGGCCTTCTTTGGAATGCTCAACTTATTTCCGTGAAAATGAAGCCCTTTGGAGGTCATCCAAGGTGAAGGATGTGAATAGGCATCTGACTCCTTGGCCTTTGTCAAACAGGGCAAGAGAATTCGAATTCTTGGTACATTAAGTTTGTATTTTAGTCACATTCTTTGTGTGTAAAATAGATGTCCACTGAGAATTAGTTTTGCTTAAAAAATATATTGCTAATTCTGGGAAGCTACAGTAAGTGTTTATAGCAAGTAAACTTATAGTCATCTATGACCATAAACTCAGTATGAATTTTTCTTCATAAGACTCCTAATTAGTTGTTTACACTAGGAAAACCTTGGTGGCCACCCTAATGCCCGTCAAGAGAGGATTAGCTAAGTCAACGATACCACGTTTTTACAATGTCATTAAAGGGTATGATTATATCAGTGTTTATAGTCACAAAAAAGGTAGGATAAAGGGGATAGGAATCGTCAGGTCAGGTAGGGAGATCAGGGAAGACCTTTCTGAAGAGGCAGATTTAAGCAGGGACCAGAAGGAAGTGAGGCAACAAGCTATGAGGATGTCTGAAGGAGGAGCACTCCAGGCTGAAAGAACCTGAGGTGGGAATGTGCTTGCTGGTTCGCAGAACAGAAAGATCCTCTAGCTGCACCTGCAAGAGCAAGGGACAGTGTAGTAAGAGGTGAGGTCAGGGAGGGTGGGGCTAGATCAACAAGGACCTCTTAGGCCCCGGACTTTGGTTTCTGATCTACATGAAATGAGGTGTCACCTGGGGGTTTTCAGTGGAGGAGTAACAGGTAAATCTTGTGATATAAATATACTTTAGGGTAAGAATGGAAGTAGGAAGCCCAGTTAGAAGTTGTAATAATTTGCCCAGAGGCCCCAGCTGCTAAGTGGCAGACCAGAATTTCCTAATGGGGTCCCCTGACCCTTTCTGCTGTGCTGGGATGCTCTTCTGACTTGCCTTCCTCTCCCTCGTGGCAGATCAAAGATCTGCGAGACCACAAGCTCGACAACCGCATGGAGTCTTTCTTCCTGGCCGAGACTGTGAAATACCTCTATCTGCTGTTTGACCCGAACAACTTCATTCACAACAACGGCTCCACCTTTGATACAGTGATCACTCCTTATGGGGAGTGCATCCTGGGGGCTGGGGGCTACATCTTCAACACGGAAGCGCACCCCATCGACCCCGCTGCCCTGCACTGTTGCAGGAGGCTGAAGGAAGAGCAGTGGGAAGTGGAGGACTTGATGAGGGAATTCTTCTCTCTCAGACGGAATAGGTCAAGAGTTAAGAAGACGATGAGCTCAGGGCCATGGGAACCTCCAGCAGGGCCAGGAACATTCTCCCCACCTGAAAACCATGATGGGGTGAGGGAGAGGAAGCCGGCCAAGCAGAAAACCCCACTTCTCAGCTGCCCTAGTCAGCCCTTTACCTCTAAGCTGGCATTACTGGGACAGGTTTTCCTGGATCCCTCATAATCACTGGATGATTTTTGTTCTGTTTTTGAAACTAGACTGTAACAATAAATCTGCTTTTGACTGTCATGCTTTTCTATTTAATGTATTGGGTTGTTTCAGGAGATTTCATTCAAAGAAGGGGGTCATGGCTAAAAACAATTGGGAATCTAGTTTATTTTTCTCATACAGTTGGAGAAACAACTAAACCTGAAGTCTGCTGGCTCCAAAGACTCCAGTGTTGATCATTGACTCTCCCATCCTTTCAAGGTTCCCTTTTTCTGTTATCTTGGGGTGGAGGGTATTGTTATAAATGTACTTCTTCACTAGTTCTTGCCCCAGCCTGTGCTTCTGTCCTTTAGTCCTCCCATTTATCCACCTATCCTGGGATTTACTAAGCACGTTTGTGGGCCAGGCCAGCTTTACAGTTCAGTGGTAGGCAAAAATTAGTAAATATATAAAATACTATTTGGTAACTGCTATGAAGAAAATAGATGCTGTGTGAGAAAATCATGGAGAGAGGTAATCTACCTTAGGTAGGGTGGCTAGGGAAGGCCTCTGTGGAAATGAGTTATTAAATCTTTAATTATAGAAAACTTACAATAAACAAAAGTGGAGACAACAGGACAATAACCCCCATGTACTCATCACCCAACTTCAACAACCCAGCTTTAAAGGCAGTCAACCCATGGCCAACTTTATTTATACCCACGCTAGGTCATTTAGAAGGAAGCCTCATGTGTTTCAAATAAAAAAGATTTAAAATAGTTTCACTGCCTTAAAAATCCTCTGAGCTTTACCTATTTCTCCCGTCCTCCCAGTCCCTTGCAATCACTGATCTTATTTCCTGTTTCCATAGTTTTGCCTTTTCTGGGGTATCATACAGTATGCAGCCTGCCAGATTGGCTTTTCACTTAGGAATACACATGTGAGGTTCCTCTGTGGCCTCATGGATTGATAACTCATTTCTTTTTAGTACCTTGTCTTGATGATGTACCAGCTTATTGAACCATTCACGTACTGAAGGACATCTTGGTTGCCTCCAAGTTTTGGCAATTTGAATAAAGCTGCTAAAAATATCTATGTGCAGGTGTTCAACTCCTGTGGGTAAGTAGCAAGGAGTGTGATTGCTGAATGGTCTGGTAAGAGTATATTTAGTTTTGTAAGAAACTGCCACACTCTCTCCTGAAGTGGCCATGCCACTTTGTATTCCCAGCAATGAGTGAGAGGTCCTGTTGCTTCATAGTCATGCCAGCATTTGGTATAGTCACTGATTTGGATTTTGGCCATTTTAATAGGATACAGTGATATCTTGTTTTAATTTGCATTACCCTAATGACAGATGATGTGGAAACTTGTTTCATATGCTTATTTGCCTTCTGTGTATCTTTGGTGAGGTGTCTGTTAACGTCTTTGGCCCATTTTTTAATAGAGTTTGTTTTTTGTGGTTGAATTTTTCAGTGGGGTTTTCTTTGTATATTTTGGATAAAAGCACTTTATCATACATGTCTTGCCAATATTTTCTCCCAGGCTGGCTTGTGTTTTCTTTCTCTTGAATTCTCTCTTTCATTGCAATTTATTTGTTGAAGAAACTGGGTTATATTTTAGAGTTTCTCAAATTATGTGTTTTGATAATTTCATTCCCCTGGTATTGTTTAATATGAATCCATATATATATATACACATACATACATATATGTATATTTTTTAAAAGATTTTATTTTTATTGTTAGAGAAAGGGAGTAAGAAAGAGAGGGAGATAAACATCAGTGTGTGGTTGCCTCTTGTGTGCCCCCTACTGTGGACCTGGTCCGCAACCCAGGCATGTGTCCTAACTGGGAATTGAACCAGCAATCCTTTGGTTTGCAGGCCAGCACTCAATCCACTGAGCCACACCAACCAGGGCTACATACATATATTCTAATTGAGAGTAAGCTCTGCAGGCTTTATCAGATTCATATTTTTAAGTTTTGTTTTATTTTGCAAGAATGGTTCATAAGTGGTGGTGTGTAACTCAGTTAGGAGGCACATATGTCTCGTCTCTAACAGCCATTTGTTGATCATTACCTAGATTCATTATTTGAGAAGGGGTTACAAAATAGTGATATGCTAATTTGGCTAGATTACTTCTCTAAAGGAAGATGTCCCCTTATTAACTATGTGGGTACCTTGAGATAGAATTTATACAAGTGTTCAGAATAATGAGTAGATTCCCTGACATCCTCTAAAGGTGACAATGACAATGAAGTTTTTTGTTTTTGTTTTTAAATATTGTGAACTCTTGGATTTAAACATATTTGATGGTTTTCAGTCCATTGAAATTATTATCATTATCAAACCTCTCCTGAGATCTGTTAATGCAATTCCAGTTGTCTTTGATAGCCTCTTGCTTTCTGGTGTAACAATAAGTTCCAGGTTCATCTTACACACTCCCTGATTTCTTCCTCCATCCTTGAACTGGCCATTTCTCTAAATAGTTGAGAAGATTTTTTTTTTTTTAAGATTTTTATTTATTTATTTCTAGAGAGAGGGGAGTGGAGGGAAAAAGAAAGGGAGATAAATATCAATGTGTGGTTGCCTCTCACACACCCAGCTGGGGACCTGGACTGAAACCCAAGTATGTGCCCTGACTGGGAATCAAACTGATGACCTTTTGGTTTGCAGGCTGGCACTCAATCACTGAGCCACACCAGCCAGGGCTAAATAACTGAGAAGATGACTTTTAACTAGGAGCTTCTTTGGTTTTATCTGCCAACTTTATTTTTGTCCAGAGTCTTTGTTAATTCAGCTCCTGATCATTTTTTGAAGTTCTAGAGCTCTGTAGTCGCCTTGGTAGGCATGATACTTACTTCCTGTCCTCCCTCTGATTACTTTACCTCAAAAAGGGACCCACATCTACACTTAATTCCTCATAGCAGAGATGAGAACTGCTGTAACTTTTAACAGGACTTGACTGAAAGCTGAAGAAATTGTAACACCAAAGAACACCTAAAAAACATTAGTTATGGCTGCTCTTTAAAAAAAACTTTTATTTATTGATTTTTAGAGAGAGAGGAAGGTGGGGGAGAGAGGGAGAGAAACATTGATTTGCTGTTCCGCTTATTTATGTGTTCATTGGTGGATTCTTGCATGTGCCCTGACCAATGATTAAACCTACAACCTTGGCGTGTCGAGATGACATTTCAACCATCTGAGCTTCTTGGCCAGGGCTATGGCTGCTCTTAGAGCCACATTCCATCTCAGTCATTATTCACGGCTTCTTTGTAGCAGAGGCCAGCTCACCCTCACATTCATGGACACCCCTGATCACCAATCAACACCGTAGAGTCTAGGCCAAAGAGACATAGGAAAGTCCTTTATCCTAAAGCCCATCCTCTACCCAACTTAGAAAGTTGTATTTTTAAGCAATTTATTAGCATAAATTTATTTTATCTCTTTTTTTATTTCTAATATTAGTTACCCATGCCTTCTCTTTTTCTTGATTAGTCTTACCAGACAGTCTTAATTTTATTATTCTTTTTTAAGAACAAACTTTGACTTGGTTGTTGCTATCAGTTGTTATGTTTGTTTTCTCTGTTCCTAATTTTGGCTTTTATTTTATTATTTCCTGATTTTGTTTGATTCAGATGGAATTTGCTTGTTACTGTGGCATAACCTAGTATGTAGGATACCTTCCATTTGTCCCTGTGGATATATTGTCTACCCTTTTAACCCTAAATGCACGAGTTGTTGTAAGCTACTATAGTCCTGTGCGAACCATGATATCAATGGGTTCATTTGCTCTCTGGCTACCAGTTGGGTCCCGCCAATGGGGCATCTGGTCAGGAAATTGGAGAGATGGAGTACAGTGAAGTCATATTTACTTTCCTGGCTCCCTTCCAGCAAGGTTGCTTCAGGCTGGTTAGTCTCTCAATGGAAGGTCACTGTTTCTCTCAAGGTGGCTTTCTCTACACAACCCTTTCTTTTCAGGTAATGGTTGTGCTATTGAAGAGGATGGTAATGGCTAGTATTATTACTAGCCCCACGTTACTAAGTTATCTCTTGTGGTTCTCCTGCACTCTGCCCACACTTTTTTTATAAAGAGTCTTTTTATTAAAACCTCCTCTAACTTTCCTCGTTTAAGTGAGCCCTCTGTTTCCTGTCAGGTAACCAATTCGTAGAGACAGAAAGTAAATTGGTAGTTGCCAAGGACCAGGAGGTGGGGGAATGTGAATTACTCCTAATGGGTATAGGTGTTTTGGGTTTTTTTGATGTGCGGTGAAAATGTTCTAATGTTCTAGAGTTAGATAGTGTTGATGGTTACACAATTTTGTGAATATACTAAAAACCACTGAATTGTACGTTTTAATAGGGTGAATGTAATGGCATGTGAATTATATCTTAATAAAAAATATCTAGGGTGAAAAGAAGAGAAAAAGAATACACATGCCACCTCATGAAGCAGCAGCAGTTTGCAGGCACAGTGTGGTCTAAATCCATACTTTAAAAATAAATTTACCAGAGGAAACATTCTGCATGCAGAGAGGTAAGCTATTCTGTTTATATATTTTTTAAAACCATCTTTCTGGTTGTATTAACAGTTTAGTGCTTTGGAGCAGTGTTTCTGAGACTTGGCTTATGACCCTATAATAGATCAAGACATAAATTTAATGTGTCACAACTAACTTTCCAAATAATAAAATAGAATGGATTAGAAAGTATTACGAGTGTAGGATGTTGGCACCATGCTAAGGCTTACTGCCTCATATTGTAGGAGAGAAACAGCGAGGAGATGTGGAAAATATACCCATTGGCTAAAGACATTGTTTTATTTAGCACCCTGGCATCTAATTTAACTTCTTGGTATATAATCGTCAATATGACCATCGCCCTATAATGGGAGAATTGAGTATTATTTCATTTTTTTCCATTGCATGTTGTTTAATTTTGTATCGACACAATATGAAGTTAGTTGTGAACTAAAGTGAGGGAGAATTTTATTCATTAATGGTAAAATTGGTGTGATTTTCAACTGAGTTGGTCAGGAATTTGCAGTGTGAGTTTTCAGAAAGTGCATAATCAAGAAAATTTCGAATGCATGACAAATGTAGCACTTTAATTGAATTAGTTCAAATTATGCTTA